GGGATCGAGCGCCCTCGAGCCGGCCCTCGTCGCCGCCCGGGATCGATCGTCCTCGAGCCGCCCCTCGTCGCCGCTGGTTAGTGTTTGTTTGTGCTTCGTGTCGAGCGCTCTGCATAGTTGGTTGATGCGGCGTGCGCTTCTCGTTCATGTAGAAGGAATTAAGCCCGTGCGATAAGTTTTTGCTCTCCGATTCGTCCGATTCGGAAGACTCGGATGTTGAGACGATGCTTTCACACTTTTGGCAGCAGACATTGGTGATGGCTCTTGCCGTCAAGGAGCACAAAGACGAGAATCGAAAGAGGCGGCGAGGATCGACCGTCGGGCGTCTTTGCATTCCTCAAAATCGCCATCTCGGGAACGAGATGTTGATGTAAGACTATTTCGCGGAGAATCCAACATATCCACCGCACCTTTTCTGGAGAAGGTATCGAATGTGTCGATCCCTCTTTGTGAAAATTGTTCAAGCTTGCGAGGCAAATTGTCGGTATTTTACTCAACGAAGAAATGTTACGGGCTTGAAGGGATTTAGTGCATATCAAAAAATCTCGGCAGCTATGCGGGTGATTGCATATGGCGTTCTGGCTGACTATGCCAATGAGTATCTTCGCATTGGTGAAGATATAACAATTGAGTCAGTGCGTAGATTTGCCAAAGTGATCATCCGTGTTGCAACGGTCTCATTTGTTTGCTAGGTTTGCTAGTGATGATGCTCCTCCTTGTAACTATACTATCAATGGGCATGAATACACAAAAGGGTACTATCTCACAAATGGTATATACCGTCCTTAATGAACATTTGTCAAGAGCATCAAAGAACCCAAAACTAAAAAACAATGTGACTTCATAAAGATGCAAGAGGCAACCCGAAAAGACATTGAAAGAGCATTCGGGGTTTTGCAATCTAGGTTTGCCATTGTTCGTGGTCCTACTCATTTTTGGGACAAGCGGACCTTGAAGAACATCATGACATGTTGTGTTATCCTTCACAATATGATTCTCAAAGATAAGAGATGCATGAACTTGGAATTCTTCTACGACAATGTGAGTAACCGTGTCAAACCAGCTAGAGACCCTAACCGCACTAGAGCTTTTCTTCAAACATACAAGGAGATTGAAAATGCAAACACCCACTTTCAGCTTTAGGAGGATTTTATTGAGCACCATTGGCAAAGGGCTTGACAGTAACAAACTCATTTTTCCATTTATTTGTATTTCTATTCGGGACAAGTTTTGTATTGCATTATTTGTATTTGTATTCGGTGATTTGAATAATTATTTGTAATATGGATGATTGTTGTATTGTGTTGGTATTGATAATTATGGTGTGGTATTGATATTTTGCGGACCGGCGGAATGCTGAATGCAGCGGCGCAAGAGCAGACCCCACAAAGCTTATCGTAAAAAAAATATTTCGCGAATATCCTTTTATACGGATCCGTTTGAGGGTCTGCCTCTGCGGCCGTCCGTGCCGGCCAGCAAAGACGTTTTCCGCGAAGTGCAAACGTATTTTGCGGGCCAACGAGATGCGGGGGTTTGCTAGAGTTGCTCTAAGCAAGAAGGAAGGAGCTCTCGCTGAATCGTGTGAGCGTATGGGCCGGCCTACTGCGGTATTTTTTTTGTTTTTTTCTATTTCACATTTTCTTTTGTTTTTTCCTCGGTTCTTATTATTGTTCGCCGGTTTTCTTTGGGTTTTTTTTTTGTTACAACTTCAGTTTTTCACCAATTTTCTTAGTTTCCCTCTCGATTTCCATAAACTTGTGTTTTCTTCATTTTTTCTTTGTTTTTTATGGTTTCTTTGTTTCTTCCTGGTTTTCTTAGTTTCTTTCTTTCTTTTTCTTAATTTCTTTCTTTTATTTTCTTTATTTTCTTTGTCGGTTTTCACTGGGAATTTTCTTTTTCTTTTTTTTTTCTTCTGTTCTTTTCGCTTTTCTTTATTGTCTTCTGTTCTTTTCGCTTTTCTTAGGATTTTTCCTCGGTTTTCTATTTTTCATTATACATCGTATTTTTTCTTCTTTCGTTCTCCTTTTGGTTTCTTTTTATTCCTTTCATAATTTTTATACATTTTTTCCTTTCTTAATTTCTTTTTTTTTCTTTGATATCTTTTTCCAATGCAAGTTTAACATTTTTTCATAAATGGTCAACATTTTTTAAATACATATTCTTAACATATTTCATATTCTTGATTAACACATGGTCAACATTTCTTGAATACATGGTCAACATTTTTCCGATACACACTTTTAAACTCTTTCAAACGCTTCAAAAAGTTTTTCAAATAATAGAATACTATTTTCTAATACAACAACAACAACAAAGCCTTTAGTCCCAAACAAGTTGGGGTAGGCTAGAGGTGAAACCCATAAGATCTCGCAACCAACTCATGGCTCTGGCACATGGATAGCAAGCTTCCACGCACCCCTGTTCATAGCTAGCTCTTTGTCGATACTCCAATCCTTCAGGTCTCTCTTAACGGACTCCTTCCATGTCAAAATCGGTCGACCCCGCCCTCTCTTGACATTCTCCGCATGCTTTAGCCGTCCGCTATGCACTGGAGCTTCTGGAGGCCTGCGCTGAATATGCCCAAACCATCTCAAACGATGTTGGACAAGCTTCTCCTCAATTGGTGCTACCCCAACTCTATCTCGTATATCATCATTCCGGACTCGATCCTTCCTCGTGTGGCCACACATCCATCTCAACATACGCATCTCCGCCACACCTAACTGTTGAACATGTCGCCTTTTAGTCGGCCAACACTCCGCGACATACAACATTGCGGGTCGAACCGCCGTCCTGTAGAACTTGCCTTTTAGCTTTTGTGGCACTCACTTGTCACAGAGAATGCCAGAAGCTTGGCGCCACTTCATCCATCCGGCTTTGATTCGATGGTTCACATCTTCATGGTTCACATCTTCATCAATACCCCCATCCTCCTGCAACATTGACCCCAAATACCGAAAGGTGTCCTTCCGAGGTACCACCTGGCCATCAAGGCTAACCTCCTCCTCCTCACAGCTAGTAGTACTGAAACCGCACATCATGTACTCGGTTTTAGTTCTACTAAGCCTAAACCCTTTCGATTCCAAGGTTCGTCTCCATAACTCTAACTTCCTATTTACCCCCGTCCGACTATCGTCAACTAGCACCACATCATCCGCAAAGAGCATACATCATGGGATATCTCCTTGTATACCCCTTGTGACCTCATCCATCACCAAAGCAAAAAGATAAGGGCTCAAAGCTGACCCCTGATGCAGTCCTATCTTAATCGGGAAGTCATCGGCGTCGACATCACTTATTCGAACACTTGTCACAACATTATTGTACATGTCCTTGATGAGGGTAATGTACTTTGCTGGGACTTTGTGTTTCTCCAAGGCCCACAACATGACATTCCGCGGTATCTTATCATAGGCCTTCTCCAAGTCAATGAACACCATATGCAAGTCCTTCTTATGCTCCCTATATCTCTCCATAAGTTGTCGTACCAAGAAAATGGCTTCCATGATCGACCTCCCAGGCATGAAACCAAACTGATTTTTGGTTACGCTTGTCATTCTTCTTAAGCGGTGCTCAATGACTCTCTCCCATAGCTTCATTGTATGGCTCATCAGCTTAATTCCACGGTAATTAGTACAACTCTGAACATCCCTCTTGTTCTTGAAGATTGGTACTAATATACTTTGTCTCCATTCTTCTGGCATCTTGTTTGCCCAAAAAATGAGGTTGAAAAGCTTGGTTAGCCATACTATCGCTATGTCCCCGAGACCTTTCCACACCTCAATGGGGATACAATCAGGGCCCATCGCCTTGCCTCCTTTCATCCTTTTTAAAGCCTCCTTCACCTCAGACTCCTGGATGCGCCGCACAAAATGCATGCTGGTCTCATCAAAGGAGTCATTCAGTTCAATGGTAGAACTCTCATTCTCCCCATTGAACAGCTTGTCGAAGTACTCCCGCCATCTATGCTTAATCTCTTCGTCCTTCACCAAGAGTTGGCCTGCTCCGTCCTTGATGCATTTGACTTGGCCAATATCCCTCGTCTTCCTCTCCCGGATCTTAGCCATCTTATAGATGTCCCTTTCACCTTCCTTCGTGCCTAACCGTTGGTAGAGGTACTCATATGCCCGACCCCTTGCTTCACCAACAGCTCGCTTTGCGGCCTTCTTCGCCATCTTGTACTTCTCTATGTTGTCTGCACTCCTATCCAGGTATAGGCGTCTGAAACAATCTTTCTTCTCTTTAATCGCCTTCTGGACATCATCATTCCACCACCAGGTATCCTTATCTTCGCTTCTCCTTCCCCTGGACACTCCAAAC